ACAACGCCTGTGTAGATTTTATTAAAAGTCATATAAAACTCTTAACATGGAGATCTTCAGAGATAGCAGGTGTCATGTAGGTGGTTTTGTTCTCAGAAGCAAAACCAATGTATTTTCTGGTGATCGTGAATTTAGATTCATTTCTATTTCTGAAACAGTAGAGGAGTTCCTTAAAATTGTATGGCCAAAGGGACACAATCCAAAGAATAAATTATACAAGAGATAATAAATAATGACCTGTGGTACACTATGGAAGAGGTAAAAGAATAGCTTACATTCATATGAACACAGACATCCAAGGGACACATTCAAAACAGAAGTGAATGTTTAGGGGAGAAGGATGGGGTCTAAAGAAAATGTCACTTAGAGTCCGATCTGGGTTTAAATTCTGTCTCTTACCCAAGTTCTAATCCTTAGGTTTGTTTATAAAATAGAAATAACCATAATCATATCAACAACAGACTGACTCCAAATAGGAAAATGAGAACATCAAGGCTGTATATTGTCACCCTGATTATTTAACTTATATGCAGAGTATGTCATGCAAAATGCCAGGCTGGATGAAGCACAAACTGGAATTAAGATTGCCGGAAGAAACATCAATAACCTCAAATATGCAGATGGCACCACCCTTACTGCAGAAAGTGAAGAACTAAAGAGCCTCTCGATGAAAGTGAAAGAGGAGAGTGAAAAAGTTGGCTTAAAACTCAACATTCAGAAAACTAAGATCATGGCATCCAGTCCCATCACTTCATGGCAAATAGATGGAGAAACAATGGAAACAGTGACAGACTTTATTTTGGGAGGCTCTAAAATCACCACAGATGGTGACTGCAGCCATGAAATTAAAAGACGCTTGCTCCTTGGAAGAAAAGCTCTGACCAACCTAGTCAGCATACTAAAAAGCAGAGACATTACTTTGCCAAAAACGTCCATCTAGTCAAAGCTATGGTTTTTCCAGTAGTCATATATGGATGTGAGATTTGGACTATAAAGAAAGCTGAGCACCAAAGAATTGATGCTTTCAAACTGTGGTGTTGGAGAAGACTCTTGAGAGTCCCTCGGACTGCAAAGAGATCCAACCATTCTATCCTAAAGGAAATCAGTCCTGAATATTCATTGGAAGGACTGATGCTAAAGCTAAAACTCCAATCCTCTGGCCACCTGATGCAAAGAACTGACTCACTTAAAAAGACCCTGATGCTGGGAAAGATTGAGGGCAGGAGGAAAAGGGGATGACAGAGGATGAGATGGTTGGCTGGCATAACCAACTTGACAGACATGAATTTGAGTAGGCTCCGGGAGTTGGTGATGGACAGGGAAGCCAGGCATGCTGCAGTCCCTGAGGTTGCAAAAAGTCGGACATGACTGTGCAACTGAACTGAACTGAATAATCACATCATGACTGTCGTGAAGAGTAAATAAGACAGAACATGAGATTGTTGGATGGCATCATTGACTCAGTGGACAAGAGTCTGAGCACACTCCAGCAGACAGTGAAAGACAGGGAAGCCTGACATGGGGTCTCAAAGAGTTGGACACAACTGAGCGACTGAACAACAGGATAAATTCAGTGCCATTCCTGGTACACAACCGACAGTGAACATCAGCTACCTTTCCTCCCCTCCCCCTGTGTGTTTCTACAAGATTTTTTGTTGTTGTTGTTTTACTGACTTAAATGGGAACTCTTACAGTGGTTAAAAAAACAGTTCCTACACATTATATAGTCATTGGCACATATGTATCTGTTGCAGTACCATAATTTGCAAAGAAAAAGGAAGTAGTAATTTTAACAGAAAAGTACCAGCTCACTTGCACTGCCTTCTAAAGCCTTCAGCTTTATGGTCTACAGAGACTATTTGCTCTAGGGGAGCAGAATGTGAAATAAAGGAAAAATGCTCATGGGAAAAAAGGTTCCCAAAAAAAGAAAGAGAAGATAATGAGGGGAAATCGAGGGATATAGAAAGGAGTTTATTTTACTTAACAAAGTAAAAGTCAAGCAAAATGAATAATCTGCCTCCAGAAATGGTTATTTAAAGGTTTTTGCAAAGGGCTCTGGTTCCTAAAAAGACAGGAGTCATTGCATATGCCCACCCACTCCTCATTTATTTTTAAACCCTAGCTTATATGTTCCTTAGCAACAGAAGGAGCAGATGAGACCCCCTACACACACGCACACATACACCCTCTCCCCTAGCCCCCTTCTCTCCTGTCATGTCATTCTGTAAACACCCATGTTCTTCAAAAGATATTTATTTTTGACCACCTGCAAATCTCTTCTTCTCCACCTCAACTGATCCCCCTAACACCGTGGCCATATTCCACACCCTAACTCAACCCTTTCACTTAGATTCCATTCTGTGAGGTATTCTTGACCCCCATCCATTATCTTTCTCCAGTCACCATCCTTGGGTGCCACCCCTCCAAAAGTGAAGTGATGTGGTTGGTCCTCAGTGAGGAGCCAATGCTCAACTTCAGTCAAAGTCTCTTTTCTTACAGACCATTCATCAACCCACCAGTGAAATGGCCAGGCCTAGCTACATCTGCTGCTGCTGCTAAGTCGCTTCAGTTGTGTCCAACTCTGTGCAACCCCATAGATGGCAGCCCACCAGGCTCCCCCATCCCTGGGATTCTCCAGGCAAGAATACTGGAGTGGGTTGCCATTCTGAGTCCAGCATAAATGGCTTCCATGATGAATAGTTACACCATTCACCACCCATTCACCATGTCTCTAAAAAAAAAAAAAAAAAAATCCTCATCATCATCAAAATAGAGACACTCTCCAGGTTACCAGCACAAACACATGCTGATGAATACCTACCCTTCTCTGTCTTTCCTCTGATTTTGGGACTGCAAACCATGTTTGGCTGAGCATGGATTATGAGTTTAAAGATCAATTGCTTGCCTCTGGTAGAGGGGGGAACACAAAGCAGCAGTCTTCAGATATTAGTGTGTGTACACATCACCTGAGGAGCCTATTAAAAATGCCCACCCATGGAGAGTTTGATTTTGAAAGTGTGGGGTGGTGGGCATCTTTAACCAGCCTCCTGAGGTGATGCTGATACAGGAGGCTTCCTGAATTGGAGACTGTAAAGCTTCATTTAAAAGGAAAAATGATGTTTACAAGGAAGAAGCCACTTCTGTGGACTGTAAGGCAGATGCACTCTTATTCTTTCTCTACAGAAAAAACACTGTCTGGGTCTACATCTGTGTTTGCCTGTGAACACCCATACACATGTATGTGTGAGCATGCAACCCAGAAAGCCACAGTCCCACACAGTACTCTTTTCCAAGAGAGAGAGGCTCAGGAAATGACTCCTGCCAAGAGGCAAACTGAAATGATTTCCCTTGCAAACTCTGGCTTTGCAACCCAGGAGGAGTCTGATGATGAATACCAATGACACAGGAATGATTCTGGGCCCAGGAGCCCAGACACACAATATGTTTCATATAATCAACCACCCCACAGCCTCCAACTCACAATTCCTAAATTAGGCTGAATGCAGTCCCTGGTCCCCTCAGGGCCAGACAAGCCATCCTAGCTAGGAAGTAGAACTGCCTGTGTCCTAGCCTACCTCCTCAGAGGTGCCTCACTCTCCACCACTTGTCTATTTTTAGAAACCAAAAATATCAAGAGAAAGATCCATTTTGTCCTGATCTACGTGAGAAACTAAAAGAGCAAGTCAGGTGGGAAACTCCCTCAATGCACAGTGAAAAAATGCCCTTGAGGGAGAGGAGAGCAACACTTTCCCCAGGAAGATGGTTTTGGAGTTGCAAGGACTAAATACTTAGACAGAGCACATGCCCTAGTGACCGGGTCCTCCAGTCCAGGCGATGCCCGTGGGGATCCCGGTGATTCACACACATGCCCCCAGAAATACAACACACATCCTCACAAACCCACACACCTCTGTCATCTGCTTTTGCTTACATAACAGCACATGGTGTAACAGCCTTAGTACTTTATATGGGTTTCTGGAGAGGACTGCTAACTCAAACTGAGGAGGGTCCCTTGCTTTCTTTTCAAGAAATACTCCGAGCCCGAGCAAGTGAACATCTTTGCAATTCTATGCTTGTTTATCACCTCAACTTTTAAGATTAACAAGCAGTAAGGGTAGTCTCCCAAACTCTCCAAACCTATCAATATCTTTATTCTTGCCTGGGGTGGGGGAGTGGGCAGGGCAGGGAACAGAACTTAATGAATCCTCCTTTCTTATCTGTGACTCCTGACACAATGTGGGGTAGTCTTTTAAAGTATCATTTGGGGGCATTTATTCCACACTGTCCTTGTCTTGCAAATACACCCATGCTGGGCACAAGCATGGCCCCATTCTTGCCCTCACCCCTTGCGTGCCAACAGGCTCCCCAGGTCGTCCTTCTGGGCACACCCGAGAGAGAGGGAGAGAGTACGTGTACATGTGACCCCCCCCCCCCCACTGGGAACCAGTTGCGTACGAACAAACAGAGATTCTCAACGCAGCAAGACCAACTTCCATAAGGATTTCTCTCCAGTGTACAGCGCTGTTCTTTTCTGCCCGTCTGTGATCTCAAGTATCAACTCTGTGCCAAAGGTTCACTCAGTGAAATCGGGAACGAAGGGGGAGTGGGTGAAGATGACCCAGGCTTAGGGACAACTTCGAGGACCTCTCTCAAGAAAGCCAGCACTTGTGTGTGCACCCACCCCCCCCCCCC